AAAGCGCCGGGGATTGCAGGGGTTGCGTTCAGGATCGCGCTTGTTGTTGCCCCCGCGACTCGCGAGGACCTTGCTTATTTTGTGTAAGAGCGCTTACGAGAGCCATCGCTCATCCCGGGGATTGATAGTCGATCGCCCGCAGCGATTCACAGAAACATGGCTACCACTCCGGGTCACCCTCCTGCATGTGAGACAGTGCCGCGCCTACGAACGTGTCCACGTACAGGAGAGTAAGCCGCACACGCACCGGCGCTGTCTTCGGGTCGACTGATGTGTTCTCCAACACGAACACTCGTAGCCGGCTCGCTAGCTTGTGCATGTAGTCATTCAACATGGGGGTCAAGCAAGTTCAGTCCGTGAATGACGTCAAGGATGTCTACGTGCGAACCGCACTCCACACCAATGGTAGGTAGTTTCACCGAAGGGCTGAAGTCGCTAGAGAAGTTCGCGTTAGTTGAGCCGTCTTCTAGACATGACATCTCACTGCTCTCCTTGAAATGCATGACCGCCAGCCAGCGGGACCCTAGATGGCCGCTGACGATGGCCATCAGCACGGCTGGTGTCGCCCGAACCTTGACACACCCCAGCTCTCGTACACACAGCACAAACGACATAGCCGATGTAGCCTTACCTGTGTCCGTGCCGAAGACTCAGAATCTCCGACTTGCGGCCAGCAGATGAACTTGCGACGAAGTGTAGTCGCCTTCGTCTTCTTGGGCCCTGCTGGGAAGCCTGCACTCGACCGGAACCGTACATCTAGCGGAGGAAGCTGTCTCTTCGAGTTGGGTGCCGTCTCCATGCATTGGGGAGCTTCGTTCCATCGGCTGCGAACTTGGCGGTGTAGTATGCGCAGGACGCGCAGTTCAGTCATTACACTAGCCCCAGGAGCCGTGGGGGCTGCAGTAGGTACCGCGTCCGGTGGGTATTTCGCGATAAAAGCTGGTGCAGGTACGCTGCCCATCGCCGTACCTCGACCAGGCTCGAAGGACGCCATGAACGAGTTGAGATCGAAGCCTTCACGGGAGCCGGAAGCGAGCACAAAGCTCGTAGATGGAGCAAACTCGGCGGTGGACGCGGATTCCGCAGGTGGTGTGGTATTCCTCGTCCTCTTCGGCTATGGTGGGGCCGCTTTGGCTTCCAGGTCTTGGTCTGACGCGTCGTATGAACCTTTGTTGACCTTCTTGCGCACGGTGCTAGCCGCGTCCGTCGAAGCCACGCGCTTGGTCGCTTTCTTCACGCCCCTCCGAGCTTCAGTTGGTGCGTCAGCGGTCGCTCCACGTGATGCAGCGCTTGCTCATCCGCACAGGAGGGGACTCCGTCGTACTGCGTGCTGAGGCGGTGGTTCATGGCTCCTCGCCGGCGGTGACGTCCACGACGTCGGCTCTACTGGCCGGAGCTACGCTGTCCGACGAGGCAGTACCTGCCCTGAATACCGGCGAGCTGAGGGCGCTTCGTCGTTGGCTGCTTTGGAGGATTCTTGAGCTGTCATTGCGAGTAGTACCCCCCCCCCTTTGACTTCTTGTCTGCTTGGAGCTTGTTCTTCCAAAAGTGAAGTGAGGAAATGCCGCGTGTGGTTGGCAGCAAGCAAGGAGGAGAACATATCAGTATGAAGTCGGTATACTGGTTTTGATAATTTGATGGGGAAGCACAAAATTTCTTTGTTTCGCCTTGCTTCACTATTGAATACACCTTATAGGCCCCCATATCCCTACCTACTTTTATTTTTGCATACCAGACAGATATGGTGAGGGTTCCTGTCACACGTATAGAAAAATGAGTATGGCGTTGCACTAAGTACAGACACACGGGAGTAAATTTCCGGGCAAAGTGCCACTGCAGATCTTTGACAATTGGACTTTAATGCGTACCACTCCAAGCGGGAGTACAGCAAATGGGTCATGATCACAATATAGACGGCAAATGCACCTGCTCACTTGGGTACCATATAAGCTATACTATTTGTACTGTCGACGCTCATACAGTCTATTCATATAAGCTTGTTAATAAAGACAACTGTGTTTGAGCGAGCACTTATCCGAAATTATGCGTGACAAAAGACTGACATTCTACATAGATATGGGCGCGCGTGTCGTAGTGCAGCACTTACAGATGGGCGTGTAAAATCGATGTGTCTGTGTGCACTATCAAACCTACATTTTTCCGCCTGGAATGGGCGAAATAAGAGCGCGGTCGAGTCATAGGTGGCAATAAGGAATATCCGTCGTGCGTGGATCTATCGCGTTGGCTACTGCTGACAAATGCACGGTCAGCTTCCCTATGAGTGTGACCCAGGCCCAGTTAGCGACATGCTTGGCTATGTTGAATTGTACGTATGCAGCGTCCGCGTACTAAGCTAGCACGACAAGACAAACAATATGCGGAAGTGATTTAATACAAAGGCTATTGCTTTTCACGAGCGCGTGGCGTATACGCTCAATGACATTTATTTCAAGATGGGCTATACGTGGACACTTCTAGTGAAGCCATTTGGTTTTTGTGGCGACCGTTGGCAATTAGATGCGGTCCTTATTTATACTACATACGCAAAGCTAATAAAACGTTGCTCAAACAAACTGTCGCAATCGAGAATACGATAGCGACTGCCTCATTGCGAGACGAAGAAGTATCGATTTACTCAAGGGCGTAGTGGATGTCAACATGTTTAAGAAGGTGAATTTGCTCTGTATTTTCTTAAATGAGATTTCCTCACCGAGGTATGTTGCGTTAAGCACCAATGATATTGACCCGCCTTCTGAGCGGCAGAGAGTTACATTGCAGCGAAGCACGCCTTAGAGTGGTGTTAGTTTGGAAGCGAAGCGCTCAAACATAAATGACGACAGAGTCTTCCGGGGTAAGAGGGTGTTCGCCTTGCGGATCACGTTAAACTCGGGTGGTGACGACAAATACTCCCTCTGCGCAATGATTTAGAATTATCTTTACCTATAACATGACGACCCAACAACACCCATCGATGCTCAATCTATTACGCAGGTAACTACCTGGTCCTGCCAGCTGTCAAGCGTAAACAGCTCTATGTAATATTGTCAATGGTGACATTAGAAAAGAGATCCGGAATGCTGAATGTCGAGAGGCGGTTGGTGGGACCCGAAATGTGAACACTAAGAAAATTGTGCACAGTTTTTTTGGAATACAACGTGGGTAGGACACGGTAAAAGTATAGTATGTGTAGTTTTGCTTTGAGTAAGGGTTTTTAGCGCCGCCACAGCGCAGCGGAGGTGGCCAACCATCATCCCACTAACAAATGAGGCCTTAGCGCTTGTATCCTAAGTACTAACACTAGAACGGTGTCTGTCCGTCCGTCACACGAAACGCTCAGATTTTTAGTTTTCTCATTAGCTGCCGAGCGGATTGAAGGCGGCTTCGATTGGCTAAAAAATATACCTGCTGCCAAGAGCAGCGAGGCGGCTCGAGACAGCACCTGGTGCAACCTTGCGGGACCGAAGGACCGCTCCAGCCACAACTTACCAACTAACCATGCGAGTAGTGCAGCGCGCCTGTGGCGCGGGAGAGACCATTATATCGCGACACAGTACTTTGGGCCAGGCACGAGATCAATTTAATGCCATACACTTCGGTCTGATGGGAGAAGGGTCGGTAGGTGCTCTGTCAAAACATCGGGCAGCTTGTTGCTGTTACGAGCAACCGTCTAGCGGCGTGCGAAATTCTTCGACGCCCCAGAATCGATCAAGATTCTACTGGGGTGATCGTATTCCCGTACACATCCGTGTACTACAAGCAGCTCGCCGCAACCCTTCGACGATTCAAGAGTACGTAGACTTTAAAGAGCTAAATCCCTGTGGTACGCGCCATCCGGGTACCGCTCACGAAGATTTAGATATTTACCAGTAGGGCGCCCCGCCCCTACTGGTCTCCGGCGTTCCCCTGGTCCCGGGTTCTTGGCTTCTGCCGGAGACCCTTGAGGATGGGCTTGGGGAAAGTCCGCCTGCGGGGTCTTTCCGCGGGGACGTCGTGCTTAAAGTGGTCCAGCTTCCCGCAGACAAAACAGATCGCGCTGTTTGGCGGACCCAATCTCCATGGGAACTGGTCAAGTGGGGTTCGTCCGGCCGGGATTTGACACCGAACGCTCTGGTCACGCTGAGGCCGGCTACGCACCTGGCGATGGCTGTATTCTTCGCGAAGATCCACTTGAAGTGTCTCTTCGAGAGTGCTCGGCAGCACTCGGAACAGCTGAGTTCGCGCCGGGCTCACTCGAAATCCGTCCATGAACACCGTCACCTTGATGTGTTTATTAAGTGGGTTGCCCACTAGGGACGCCGTGAGCTCCCCCATCTCTTGGATGTACTTGTGCAGCTCACGCCTTCCTTGTTTGCTTGAAAGGGGGCGTGGTCGTTGACAGTACTCGTTGTTAACCGGGAGAAACGCGGCTCGAAGCTGCTCGACCAGCTGAGCCCAGGATGTGAAACATCCAGGCGATGTCACCTCCCGCGTGTACACCAAACTCTTGCCACGACCGCTAAGGTTGGAGAGCACAAAAGAAACGCGGAGTTGATCGGTCGAGTCCACCACGAGCTCTACCTCTCGAACCCAGAATGAGAGTTCTCACCTTCTTTCCTTTCGCACGGCTTCACCTTAAGCCGTATTCGCTTCTGGTGTGGCGGACTTGCTTTCGCCGCCGGAGTCTGCAGGTTTCCCCGCACATGTGCGATGAACCACGGCGATACAGCGAATGCCCGTGCGATTTCGAGACGTCACCGATTTCGCGTATAGATGGTGTGAAATGCATAGCCGAACAGGCAAATCAACAGATCTCCCCACCGGCTTGGTGCTGTTTTGATGGTGTGGGACGTACCGCCTCGCGCTTTATCTTCACGAAAAAGGCTTCTCGACTCAAAGTGCAGATCACCAGTCTGTCTTTCAGTGGTTTCCACTTGTACGTTGATTAATCTCTGAGACCGTCAGCAAGTTTCATTCCGAAATTCGCATTCGTTCTCACCAACAGCTTCCAAAAGTACAGGCCCATGGCGTCGCCAGCAGGACCCCCCATTCGGATACCGGTATCGTTTGTAAGCGGCACTCCGTCGCAAGCCAAGGACCCTGATAGAACTCCCAGCTACGCTCAGGTCAAGACCCCGGATCCGTCGTCCCTCGAGGGTGGCGCTCTACGTGAAGGTGGGACTTCCGTTCTTACCAGCAGCGACAGTATCGGTTTGCTCTTCCAATACGCTGTGGTGGGTATCAACTACGGTCTGCTGCCTGCCACGGTCTACCCATTCCTCCAGCAATACCTGAATGCTACCGGTTCTCAAGTTACCACAGCTGCGACGCTAGTCATTCTACCATGGAGTTTAAAGGTGTTCTACGGTATTCTATCCGACTGTGTGCCGCTTTGGGGATACCGACGCAAAGTCTGGATGCTTATTGGTTGGGCCATGTGTCTTACGATGCTGATCGTCATGGCCGCGTCTCCGGCCGGTCAGCCGTACTACACGGTCCCGTCCGACCGCAAGATTGATCCCGCCGATTACACACCAGAAATCGAGGCTCGCATTAACTTCGATGCCGGTAATCAGGCTGGCAAATATGTCATGCTCATGTTCTTCGCTGCTATCGGATACGTTCTAGCTGACGTCTGCGCCGACAGTATCGTGGTGGAATACGCGCAGCGTGAGCCGGTCGAGAAACGCGGTAAGATCCAGTCGGCTATCTACACAATCCGCACTGTCTTCGTCATCATTGGACAACTCTTGGTGGGCTTCTGCTTCAATGGACGGCGGCCAGTTCGACTTCTCGTTGAACTTCCCCGAATTAATGTCGATCGTCGCGTGTATCACGGCGCCGATCATCCCTATCACGTGGCTGTTCATTAAGGAGGAGAAGCAGACGCGTGTGCCGTTCAGGAAACACATGAGCGAGCTGTGGGAACTCATTCAGAAGCGCGCCGTCTACCAGGTCATTTTCTACCAGTTCTTCCAGAACGTCTTCTCCAGTATTACGTACACTGCCAGTTCCCCCGTCCAGTCGTACATGGTTGGTGTCACTCCGATCAACAATACGATCAGTGAGATCATCAGTAATGTTTTATTCATGGGTGGTATCATGGCGACGTCCAAGTGGGGGCTGCACTGGAACTGGCGCAAGATGATTCTCTTTACGGGCATTTTCGTCACCATTGCGGACGGTATTACTACTTTTCTTACTATTTGGAGCGTGCTCCGAAGTCAGTGGTTCTGGCTTGGTATCCCCATGGCAGTGCAACTTCCATACGGTGTCGGCTGGATGATTGGTTTCTTTGTAATCGTCGAGCTGTCCGGCGTCGGTAATAAGGGGGCTATTATCACTATGGTTGGCAACTTGGCGTCTCCATTCGCACAGGCCTTGACGCTCGTAATTAACCAGCCTCTTAACTTAACGACAGCTCGTATCCAAGCTGACGATAACTCGATCCGAACGGACCTCACGTACGCGGTGCTGATCATGTATGGCATGACGATTTTTTCATGGTCCTTCCTTGTGTTTCTGCCTCCCCAGAAGAAAGAGACGCAGGAGCTGCTTCGTACGGGCGGAAGTAGCAAGATTCTTGGAGGCCTCACAGTGTTCTACGTTATGTTCGCGTTCATCTGGTACCTCATGACGAACATCATGGCTATGTACGAGTCCACCTCGTGTTTGATTATTGCTGGTGGCAAGGAATGCTAAAAAAGCATACTACGTGTCTAAGAGAGAAGCTAAAATACAAGTGTCGTTTAATCCGTGTAAACTCATGCTTAAAGATACGAGTGGCCTTGGCATCATCTCGTATTAACACATTTTGCATGCAGTAAAACACTTCTTCCAAGTAGTCACTACAGTGAAAACTGTTTTAAAGTTTTAATAGTAGTACTGCATGTCGCTTATGTCGCTGCTAGTACTACGAAGTTCTACAAAAGTACAAAATAGTACTGTACTGGCAAGATGAAACCCAACACCAAACATTGCCCCTTCACAACTTCTCACCCAATTATCCAATTTATATGAGCTTTTTTTTGTTGGAAAGATAGCGATTACTTCTCTTAAGTAGTCATAATCATCCTTGAATATCTGCTCAAATGCACATGCTACACTTAATCGAAAAGTGCGTGTCTTTCGTTCCGCCCAAAAAAATCGAGGCTATGTTCTTGACATATGGCATCAGATGTTTTGGTCCTTACAAACTTTAGTATTACAATCAACAATGCTCTTTTTACTCATTTCTATGCACATTTGATCCTAGGAAGTGGGGCTGTCGGCGATGCGTTTAACACTGCATGCAGCAATCCCTACGCTGCTCCTGTAGCTAAAACCAGCTTCTGCAGATCTGTTGCATTTCAAGCTGCATTCTGGCGTAAAGCTTGTCACTTTAGGCTTCTTTGTTTGTTAAATATCGCAAGAAATGCTCGGTGCATGCATGATCAGCATCAATTTTCCGCAGACGTTTGAGCGTCCACCATTTTAATAAAAGACAAGAAAGTCAAACAATGTGTGTTTGTCTGTGATCTCTGTGCTACCCTGTTCCCATTGCGGGTCTGCCGGCATTAATCCGATAATTACTTTTGTATTTATGGGCAAAACAAAAAAAAGGTGTTGGGTTTCATCTTGCCAGTACAATAGTAGCTTCAATTTTTTCTAATCAAATCAGCAATAATATTACTGGGTAGTACCTGTACCTACGTGTTCACTTAGCTCCTGCTTGTTTTGGAGCAACAGTTGTCAAGTAAAAGTACATGTAATCCAATGGAAACATGTACTTAGTACTACTAAGAATTGGACATTCTTTGGTAATCGATTCGTCATTTGTGCGATTTTTATCCAGAATATCGTTGGGGACGGTCAGTATAGTATTAAAAATGTTCACGTACATGTTTTTGGAGGTACTACCAAACTGTATTATTCGACAAAGTACTACTGTGCTCCACGCCTATAGACTCGACGTAGTAAAAGCGGTTGCTGCAAGGACAGGTCATATACTATAGTAGCTGTGTAATACAATAAGTAATACTAGTAGTACTATGACGAGGGTGCAATTAAAGTTTGAAGTATTAAAAGAATCCATTGCCTAATTCTTGTACAACAGTTGCTGTTTTTTAGTAGTTGCGGTTTAATACTTTATAGAATAGTACGTTGAGGAGGTGGGTAGTAGTAGTAGTAGAATTTTTAGAAGTATTAATAAAATCCAAACTCTTATTCTTGTCTAAACTGAAAAGATTCAAAGACATGAATACTATGAAACAAAGCTGTGCACTATTCCGCCGCCTTCATTCGTACGACTCCAATACGCAAAGATGTCAAACAAGTACTACGCAGATGTAGTGAATCAAACTAGCAGAGAAGCACATTTAACAGCCGCTACCTCCAGCGATCATCAGACACGACGTGCTTTCGAACATGGCCATGATGTTGGTCATGAGCGACCACACAAACGCGAACGTGAGGTAGGCCACCGTGAGCACGCCGAAAATCTTGCTACTGCCACCCGTACGTAGCAGTTCCTGCGTCTCTTCCTTCTGACGAGGCAGGAAAACCAGGAAGACCCACGAGAAGGCCGTCATGCCATACATGATGATCACGGCATACGTGATGTCCGTGCGGATGGACTTGTCGTCCTCCTGGATACGCTCCGTAGTCAAGTCAAACGGCTGGTCGATCACCAGCGTCATGGCTGTCGCAAACGGCGTCGCGAGGTTGGAAACCATCGTGATGAGACCGTACACGACGCCCTCGTTGCCGATACCCGACAACTCGACGATGACGAAGGAAGAAATCATGAAGCCAACACCGTACGGGAGTTGCACCGCCATAGGCAATCCGAGCCAGAACCACTGGCTTCGGAACACGTTCCAGATCGTGATGAAGGTCGTGATACCGTCGACGATCATCACAAAGGCGCCCGTGAAGAGGATCATCCAGCGCCAACTCCAGTGGAGACCCCACTTGGACGTGACCATGATACCCGTAAAGAAGCATACGTTACCAATGATCTCACTGATAGTACTGTTAATCGGCGTAACACCCACCATGTACGACTGTACGGGGGAGCTGGCCGTGTACGAGATGGTCGAGAACATTCCCTGGAAGAAGGTGAAGAAGATGACTTGATACATGACACGCTTCTGAACGAGCTCCCAAAGCTCAACCATGTAGTTCTTGAGGTTCATGCGCGGCTTCTTCTCCTCCTTGATGAAGAACCAGGTCATCGGAATGACCGGTACCGTCAGCACGGCGAGGATGATCATGAGCTGCGGGAAAGTGATGGAAAAATCGAAGTCGCCGCCGTATTGGTCGCCGTTGAAGCAGAAACCGGTGAGCAACTGGCCGATGATGACGAACACGGTACGCACGGCGTATATGGCGGACTGGGTCTTGCCACGGGTCTCGATCGGCTCACGCTGCGCGAAGTCCACCACGATACTGTCGGCGCACACGTCCGACAGCACGTAGCCTACAGCAGCGAGGAACATGAGCATGACGTACTTGCCAGCTTGCGAAGACGCGTCGAAGTTGATGCGTGCCCGGATCTCGTCCGTGTATTCAGCCGGTTTGATGTCGCGGTCGGACGACACCGTGTAGTACGGGTCTCCCTCGGGCATACAGGCCATGATGACCAGCGCGAGCAAGCAGATAAGCCATCCAATTACCATCCACGGACGGCGACGGTATCCCCACAGTGGTACACAGTCCGACAGGATACCGTAGAAGCACTTGAAGGTCCACGGTAGCACCACCAGTGTCTGCGCCGTCGTCACTTGAGTACCGGACGCGTTCAGGTAGTTTTGCAGGAACGGGTAGATCGTGGCCGGCAACACGCCATAGTTGAGACCGATGGCGGCGTACTGGACGAGAAGACCGAGACTGTCCTTGCTCTTGAGGTCGGGAGCGCCACCTTCACGTAGCGCTCCGCCTTCAATCGCCATTGGGTCGGGAGTCTTGACCGTCGTGTAGTGGTTGCCATCCTCGATGTCCTTGGGCTGCGAGTTGCTCACGAACGATAGCCTGGCGGCCATGTCGGTTTTGTTTGGATCCGGGTGATGCGTAGTTGACATCCTGCTTTTACGGAGGACTCGGGTGGACTCGAGAGCAGAAATCCAGGAATGAAGCGTATGGTGTAGGTACCCAGCCGCTCGGTGATGGCCCTGCAAGGTCTGGCTGGCAGCCAGACCTCGGAGGTCTGGAAAAAAGTTAAAACGCGGGTTTTCATGACTGGAGGTCACCTCGAGTCATGGAAGCCCGTGTTTTAGTTTAGAATCAATTCGTGTGCTGTAACTTGCAGCACTACAGCATCCTACGTACAACTTAGAGGTATTAATAATTCAAGGTTTTGGAGTAGCAATTGTTTGCAACAATGCAACCCTACTGTAGCAATTAAAGTATTACCTCAAAGTAATTAATATTTTTTTCACTTGAAGTTCAGGCTGAATTATTAGGAGTTATTTTGAAGCTATTATTTTTAGTAAGGAGGATTGTATTCTAAAACATGTTTTATTGTTGACCAGACAGATGCCCCAACCGAGGAGCATGTATGGACGGCGACGGTAGCCGAAAATCGGGAAGCAATCCGACAGGATACCGTAGAAGCATTTAAAGCTCCATGGGAAAACGACCAACGTGGACGCAGTAGTCACCTGGGCACCGGTACAATTGAGGTATTGTTGGAGGAACGGGTAGATAGTAGCCGGCAGCATGCCGTACACCATACCGACGGCAGCGTACTGTGCCAGAAGACCGATATTGTCCTTGCTGGTGAGCACAGGCATGCCACCTTCACGCAAGGCTCCACCCTCAACGTCGATTGGGTCGGGTGTCTTTACACCGGCATAGCCGTCGTTCAGGTCCTTGGGCGTTTGCGACGTGCCGCTCACGTACGACAGTCGTGTAGGGATGCCCAGCTTGCTGGGCGTCGCGCCGGCAGCGTGGTGTGTGGTTGCCATAGTTTGCGAGCAGGAGATACGGCCGGGAGTGAAGGAGTTGCTTGAGAAGCACAAGGCGGAATGAATAATGAACTGGACCCGGCACAGCACCGCGCGAGTAAGAGCAACGCGTCAAGCTTGCTCAACATTGTCGTGCTGCAAGCAATCGGGCAAGACTTTGTCTAAACGGAGACTTAATTTGGAGCGGGCCAACAGCGCAAGAACGAGTCCGTCGTGGTGAGCTGACGAACCGCAGCAACCGGAGCAACGCGCGTCATGCACTGGGGATGAGCTGGACTCCTACTCAGCTTTGAGGTCCACGCCTGAAAGGTACCAGTCGACAATCGCGAAGGCTCATCGACAAATACTTTGCTGCTCAAACTCGATGAAGGCGTCGGCCAGGAAATCGAGGCCTTCTTGCTGGCGTCTATCTACTGTACCACGCATCATCTTGTTAATACATTTAGAGAACAGCATTATTAATCACCACGCTACAACTTGAAACTTACCAGCCTGACAATAGTGAAGCACGATGCCGTGACTGAGTTTCGCCCACGAGACGCATCTCCGGAGCTACTACCGTACAACGTTTTGTAATCTCCGTAGAGACTGTGAAATAGCGTAAAATGTCTGGCCTGGTGCCAAGTACAGTAATGTGCTTAAGTCTTCGCCTCGACGCACACAACTAGTAGTGTGAACGTTCAGTTGAACTTCGCGGGCGGTAAAGTTCAGCTGAAGCACCTCGGAACCTCCGTGAACCTCCGCGGTAGTTTATACTTAAAAATTCTATGCCGTCTATTTTCAATAAAACTCTCAACAGGTTTAGCATGAAGACATGTACGAGCATTCCAGCATTCGCTGACGTCTCCAACAGCGACACGAGGTTGGACACCACCGACTTGTCCACTGTCACCACGTCGCTGATGGCTTGCCGCTCGACGCGTCCAACTCCTTCGCGTACATCGTGCTCCGTCAGGTCGCCGCCCGACGTGCACAGGACCTGCATACCACCATTACCAATGTACGCCGGTAGATTCCCAAATGGTACGTATGCGGAACTGATCGGATTAGAGATCAGGATTTGAGACCTGAATTATGAACAGACTGAAACCAAAGAAAAACACTTTTAAAGGGGAGAAGATGAAGCATTTACCGAGGTCTTCTGGTTGCTACACGGACATATCTACAACGTAGCACTAGTGAGTGTACTACCGTCCGCTGCGGGTGTAGCAACTGCCTCCAGTTCCTCCAGTGGAGGATCCACGTCGCTGTCAACGTCAGAGGGAATGTCCACAACCTGTGGTAGCTGAATGACCTCGCGAGGAACACGGCGGGCTCGCCCACGAGGAACATCAGCAACGCGGCGTACGTACTCAGCTGATATAGCCTTGATCACCGTCACAAATGTCGCCATTGAAGGATGCGGGGTTGGGAAACGTGTATTAAGCTCCCTGTTAAACCTCTCCAGGGGATTATTCGTTCGTGCGACCAACTCGTTGTTCATGCCGAATACGTTCCAGACATCGATGGTATACTGCTCCAGCCAAGTGCGGTTGAAATACCCCCAAAAATCGGCCCATTTTTCAGTAGAGTAGGTCACGCCAGCTTGAGCACAGCGCAACTTGATCTCACGCTTTACCCACTTAATACCTCGCTCGATGTGAGCAGGATCAATCACCGTCAGGGTGTCTAGGACACCACGTGTCATTGCAATCAGACACTCTTCCTCCGGAATAGCATAGCGCTTCATAGCCCGTCGGAGTGCTTGTTTCAGATGAAACAAGCACCCCAACACAATTGCGTTCGGAAACTGTGTTTGTAGTGCGTCCAACAGTGGCGCTTCGAAGTCACAAACAATTTCGGCCGGTTCGAGTTGCTGGTCCGTTGATTGTACGATAAAATGAATCATATCCCAGTAGGCGTCGCCAGTACGCGAGGTGCTCAGAATGTAGAGCACCGGCACGAACACTCCAGAGGCTCGGTCGTGGACCATGAACACAACGCACTGTGCGTAACCCGGCGGGACACACCGAAAAGTGCCATCCACAAACAACGTGGTACCATGATAGCGTAGTAGCGCGACCAGAGATGGATGCGCCCACCCAAGCAAGCGGGAAGGCTTGTTCAAATCGTTGCGGTTAATGGTGACGTAGTGAAACTGGAAAAAGGAAAGCTCCTCGTCTAGTGCCAATGAAAGCGGAGGAATTTCAATAGAGCCGTGAACATTGCTAGAGTAATGCGCGCTTCTTGCTCGGTGTACTCGTCGGACAACTTGTTGCTCTGACAACCCACGAACAACGTTGGGATTGTCAGCTGAGTAGAACTGGCGTCGCAATTCTTCCCACACTTGGCGCACAGGCCAAGCGACGTGCTCAATCGCAAGAAGGTCGGCTTGAGCTTTCATCTGGTCCTCAACGTTGATGACGACGTTGGCAATGGCTTCGATGCGGCATGTGTGCAGCTTTACAGCAGCATACGCCATCGATGCAATAGTAAACTCCAGCTTTCCTCTGCAACCTTGGCGAAACTTAGAGCATCTGTACACAATTTTTCTTGAGGACGACCATGCCTTGCAGTACTTATAGCCCTTGTAGAAGCATGTCGTCCGCTCACCACGTCGTGGCACAGACCCCACATCATTTGCGAGTTGCTGTCGAGCTTGCTCGAACAGCAACTCAGTGCTAACGACGTCCTCGACCGGCTCAGCTGGCTCCACTCCGCCATCCTCCGGCGCGCCCTCAGCCGGCTCAGCAGGCTCCACCTCGGCATCCACCGACGCGCCCTCGTTTGCCTCTCGATTCATCTTCTCCACTGACCAACGCACGAGCAGCCTCGAGGCTGAAGAAGTGCGTGAACTTACCAATCATTTTCAGATCCCATGTCAGATCTCCAGTGAGATAAATATCTGATCTAGAATCTGATCAGTTCCGTATACGTACCTTTTCGGAGCTAACCTGTACGCCAGATGAGGAGCGCACTCTTTCGTGTCCGTGCCGTAAATAGAATGATGTTCACGCTGGATGCGGCGCTCGAGGTGAAGTGGATCAGGTGCACCTTGGCGTTGTCGCCGTTTTTGTTGGTCTCCGTGGCCCAGTACTTCTTGCTCGACGCACTCGAGTCTAGCGCGATGTCCAGATTCGACGCCGCCACGACTGATGTGGAGGTTGCTGTCCGGCTTGCAGAGAGCTGTGGTGCTGGAGTAAGACGACTACGTGGCTATGGTGACTGAAGTTTCACCGAATGGAGACTTATTCGACCTTGTGGCTCCCGCGTCACTCATGGCGACGAGATGGAGATTTGTTCCTCGCACTGGAGCTTTTATCTGTTCGGAAGCAAGATACCGCTGAAGTACGTCTGAAACTGGAGATATACGTGACTCGAGTTTGTGAAGAGGAAAGTGGATACGCGCATCCGCTAGTCATAGTGGCTATTGCCCGATTGGCTTTTCGATCAAGTCGAGCTAAAACGTCGGATATTCAGCACAAATTGCTGGATATTTTCGCTAAACTTTACCCAGGAGCTGCTACTTTATGGCTGAATGAAGACGAAGCGCAGCATATCCAGTCAACGGCTAGTGTATCAACTGGATCCGGTTCGATTATCTCTGGGCCAGCGTCTGTGGAGGATAAATGGAGTCTTTGAAGAGTCAATATGGCTGTCGCTCGGAATCTATGGAAAATCTACTGAAGTTGGTGGGCCTGAAGAAAGTGAAGCAAGCTGCTGTAAATTTATTTAAGAATGCAATGGCCTTACAGCAATTATCGGCCACGCAACGGAATAAAAACTTGATGGGGTTCAACTACAGCGTTGTAGGGAAACCTGGTACTGGGAAGACGACAGTGACGCGATTGTTTGCTAATATCCTATATTAAATATCATAAGATTTTTACTCACTATACCCTCCACACTTAAGGCGATCGATACACTTCCAATTTTCTGCAATGAAAACAAGATCTCGGACCATGGTAGCCTTCAGCGAGCTTCTCTTCACCGTTATGACGTTTCCACTTGTCGAAAAAGCACGTTCTGACGGAACGCTTGTCGCCACGGTCCCCAGCCACTTCCTCGCTAGTCTGCGCAAGTTGGGGTAGTCATCTCCATTCGCCTTCCACCACGTGAAGGGATTCAGGTCATTTTTCACGGTAACAATGCACTCTAAATAGCGAGTGAACTCCCTTTTGCACTCTGTTTCTAAATCTGTGGCTGCGATTCGAGAAATATTCGGCCCGAAGAGATGATGGATCATGTCATTCCGTTGCTGCTGCTCCGCTTCTTCGATGGGTGTTTGGTGACGGGGATCCGTTCGTTCAGGTGGTAGCGTTTCGTTTGCCAGCTGCACCATTGCCTGTACAAGTTCGTTGCTTGCATTTGGCTTGTCGATAGGACTTAAGTGAGACATCCACTTTCCTACACGCGGATCCAAGTACGCAACCCACCTAAGCTCGCTTTTCTCCAAGTCCTCGAATCTTTTAACGTACAATGTTAGCATTCCCTTTCTGCAGTCGTTCACCATTAACACCGTCTGAGCCACGTACGCTTCGTCACCGGCTTCTGCCGCAAGACTGGCAAAGAGATCCGTCTTCTCCAAATGCTTTCGAATACCGGATAACACAGGGAGAACCAGCGGCATCGTAGGATAAGTTTGTCCACCTAGTGTTTCTGAGGCAACGGCAAACGGCCCCAGCAGAGCTCGCAAGCACTTTATAGTGAGCCATTCCTCGGCAGTTGGACGATATAATTTTCTTGCCACATCTTTGAACTCTCGGATACCTTCAGGATTTTTCAGGTACGTGAAAAACTTCACTAGAGCTCCTTCCAACTCTATCATTCTTTGGAGCATTTGCCAGCAACTATTCCATCTTGTGGCGCAGTCGACAATAGGCTTCTTAACTTCGTGATCTTTGACGCTGAAATGTTCAATTTGAAGAGCATTTAATCGGTTACAGCCCCTTTGCTGACTTTCTAAAGTACACAGCAAGCGTCCGGAAGCGCTGAACAATTTCACGTACCCTATCCATCTCATTACGGTGAACCAACTCAATTGTGTCGTTTAAGAACTGCTCCATGTCATCGATTGCAACTTCGCGGAACCCCTCGATTTGGTTCCTGTCATCCACAGTCAGTGAAGCTTCTTCCTCATGACTGGGTGCAGGCAGTGTGCTAGGCATGACATGTGCTCGACATGTAATAGTTCACCAGCAGCAACCATGTTTGTGCCTCCATCTCTCAAAAAGCGGACACAGTAGAGCTTAGACAACTGCCATTCCTCCATAATTTGTTCAATCGCGTCTGCAATGGCTGGTCCATCATGAATGCCGGCCAGCTCTTTAACTTCCAGAGTCCAATTCTGAGGGCAAAATTCATCGTCCACGTAATGTATAGTCAACGAAATGTAGCTTTTCGTGTTTCTGGAAGTCCAAATATCACAGGTTATTGAAAAATACCAACATCCCTTCACAATGGCATGTCGTACTCGTTTTCGATACTCCACAGCCAAAGCCACTATTTGTTGTGCGATCTTAGTTCGCTCAGGAAGCCTTATTTTGATTCTACAAATATCTTCGATAATGTATCGAATAAATACGACAAATCCAGCATCTTCCACAATCTTCATCGGCCGAAAGTGCCGTGCGATCCACTCAGCAAGAAGAAGATTTACGCGTTTCTGTTGCTCCGCTGAAATGGTACGCAACTGCCTTTTTCCATTTTGAAGAGGAACTTGGCCTGTGCTCTGATTTCGCTGCTCCGCTTTGGTGTTGTACACCTTTAGCTCTTCAGAATGGTAGATTTCCATATGCTGCGGCAACTTCGACTGACCAACACGAAACTTAACTTTTGCACTGCAAAGTAAACAATACGCGAGCTCGGCATGATCGTTATTCAAATCATTACGCTCAATTTGTCTGCACGCCTCGCTTCGAATGAGCCGAGCGAAATGCCAAACATCTCTCCTCTTCTGACGCTTCATAGTAAAGAGCACTAATCCCGATTCACTTTCAGCACGCTGTTGCAGTACCTGGACGTCAATGACGGCACCTTCGTTTTCGAGAACAGGAGGGCGGATGCATGGGTGCTGGGGTTGCTGTGGCGACTGGTATTGCCAGAATTGTTCCTGTGTCTGATGCTGCCAGTGCTGCGTCTGTGACTGTCGGTCTTGCCAGAATTGCTGTGGATGCTGGGTGAGCCGCTCCTGCACCTGTGGCTGGTGTGCTTGCCAGAGATGGAGAGGTTGCGCTTGCCAGAGCTGCTGTGGCCGCGGTTGCAGCGAGAGCTGTTGCTGGGACTGGTGCGATTGTCGAGAGAACGACCTCGATGGTTGAGCCGGGACGGAAGCTGGCACTGCAGTAGGCACTTCGTCATCGTAAGAAAGCACACGCCGAGGCGCTGGCGTACGGAGAGGACGTGGCGTGTGATGGCCGCGCGACTCGCGCCGCGAGTGCTGCTGTGCCTCCATAGGTATCGGAAAATGATGATCGCCTTCTCAGATAACACACAGCACGAACAAAACACTTGAATATAGTATGTGCATAGTTTAACGCCAATGTACCATTGAGGATGTAGAAGGTAGTTGAAGTAGGTTTGAAGGGATTCAGATACCTTTCAGGGGTACCTCCGGATGCAGAGGTAACGGGAGGTTCACAAAGGTTCAGCGCCTGAACCTTCACACCACTACACACAACTGCACGCAGCGACAGTACATGTAGTGCCTTTCAAATCCTTATAAAACGGTTTCATCAGTTTAATCGGTAATTTATTAATCAAATAAATTACAAATTGGTCGGTTGCTGGAACGCGACCTTCGGGCTTAGTGAAGTGTCGTCACGTGTTTAATCACGCTGCTAGTAAAAAGTCTTTTAGAATTGTTTGATAGACCAAAAAGTGGTCTCACCAAACATTTCATCGTGATTAAACAATTATGCGCGACTTTTTATGTAGGTTTTGTAAGGCACGATTCAAAACAACTGAAACTAATACAAATACTACGTAGTACTTCAAAGTATTAATTGGGTAAAAAACAAACTGTCGTAGAAGAATAATACTACCGCGACACGCTTTTTTAGCAACCGCTGCCACCAGCGATAATCAGACACGAAGTGCTGTCGAACATGACCATGATGTTGGTCATGAGCGACCAGATGAAGGCGAACGTAAGGTAGGCCACCGTAAGCGCCCCCAAGAGCTTGCTACTGCCTCCCGTACGCAACAATTTCTGCGTCTCTTCCTTCTGACGAGGCAAGAAAACCAGGAAGACCCACGAGAAGGCTGTCGTCGCGTACATGATGATCACAGCGTACGTGATGTCTGTCCGGATAGAATTGTCGTCCTCTTGGATACGCTCCGTAGTCAAGTCGAACGGCTGGTCGATCACAAGTGTCATGGCTGTCGCAAACGGCGACGACAGGTTGGCAACCATCGTGATGAGTCCATACACGACGCCTTCATTACCGATACCCGACAGCTCAACGATAACAAAGTTAGAAATCATCCAGCCCACACCGTAGGGCAGCTGCACAGCCACAGGCAATCCGAGCCAGAACCACTGACTTCGGAAGACTTCCCAGATCGTGATGAACGTAGTAACGCCGTCCACGACCATGACAAACACACCCGTGGCCACGACCATCCAGCGCCAATTCCAGTGGAGCCCCCACTTCGAAGTCACCATGATACCAGCCATAAACAGCAGATTTCCTAGGATCTCGCTGATAGTACTGTTAATCGGCGTGACGCCCACCATGTACGACTGTACGGGGGAACTGGCAGTGTACGAGATGGCAGAGAACATGCCTTGGAAAAAGTTAAAGAAGATAACTTGATATACTGCGCGCTTCTGGATGAGCTGCCAGAGCTCCTTCATGTAGTTGTTGAAGTTGATGCGAGGCTTCTTTTCTTCTTTAATGAAGAACCACGTCATAGGGATGACCGGTGCCGTCAGACACGTGAGGATGATCATAAGTTGCGGGTACGTAATGGAAAAATCGAACTCGCCGCCGAACTCTTCACCGTTGAAGCAGAAACCGGTAAGTAACTGGCCGATGATGACGAAAACCGTTCGAACAACGTAAATGGCGGACTGGGTCTTGCCACGGGTCTCGAGGGGCTCACGCTGCGCAAAGTCCACCACGATACTATCGGCGCATACATCCGACAGCACGTAGCCTACTGCAGCGAGGAACATGAGCATGACATACTTGCCAGCTTGCGAGTTCGCGTCGTAGTTGATACGTGCCCGGATCTCGTCCGTGTAGTCAGCCGGTTTGATGTCGCGGTCGGACGACACCGTGTAGTACGGGTCTCCCTCGGGCATACAGGCCATGATGAGCAAAGCGATCAGACAAATGACCCATCCGACCACCATCCACGGACGACGGCGGTACCCCCCTAGCGGCACGCAGTCTGATAGGATACCGTAGAAGCACTTGAAACTCCACGGTAGTACTACCAGCGTCTGTGCCGTAGTCACTTGGGTACCCGTCGCGTTCAGAAAATTCTGTAAGAACGGGTAGATTGTGGCTGGTAACACACCATAGTTGAGACCGACAACAGCATACTGGACCAGGAGACCGATGCTGTCTTTGCCCTTGAGGTCCGGGATTTCACCCTCTCGAAGAGCTCCACCTTCAATGTTGGCCGGGTCGGGAGTCTTCACCGTCGTGTAGTGGTTGCCATCCTCAAGCTCCTTCGGTTGCGAGGTGCCGCTCACAAAGGATAGTCGACCGGGTAGATCGCCCTTAGCTGGACCACCGGGGCCGTGGAGAGTTGTTGCCATGCTTTAGAGAGACTGGTGCTGAAGCGGGAAAATTGCAGAATGGAATGAGTTTCAGGCCTCGACGAACTTGGCTACTTGGGTAGGCTGATGGGCTATACCCGCAGACGTTGTGCCGACAACTAAAGTTTGAGGTACCGCGCTTTATAAATCGGGCACCACGAGTCGTGGTGCCCGATTTCCTCTCGTGGCACGAGAGGATGAGGCTGCCTATAGCAACCGACTTGTCGCCCGGAGAGAGCAACACTTTTTTTTTATTTTGTTCGGTCTTTTGCTATTTCAACGGCTGTAACAGGCCAACGTTTTGTAAGAGCGCATACATATACAGTATGATGAAGATCTTGCTTGGAAAGGATTGGGCTTGAGTGTAGCATTTTAACTTTACTGTACCTGGCTGCACCGTGTACTTGAACACGAATTAAAAATTGTTTCATATTTTAATCAAATTAATCAGAGGCAAGACAACTCCCACGAAATGATGTCGTGATGGTCCGGGCCCAGACTTTGGCTGACTTGGAGACGCATCCCTGGAGTTGTACAATGCTGTGCAATCTCGTGGACGAATGACTCGCAGATGGTGAATGTTCAGCCCGCGGCGCATCACTCGCCATGCTGCAACTTGCATATGTACAAGTACATTGATTGGTTCAAGGTACTGTTGACCAAGCATGTGCGCGTGTCAAAGAGCGATACAAGTGCCATGTACATATAGCGAGTTGCTCAGCGCAGTCGGTAGGTTACTGTGGTGATATGGTAGATCACGCCTCACTCCATTATAAATCGATAGCACCAAGAGAAGATCGAGCCCACAAAGACCAGCTGAGCCATCAGAGACTTTCACGGCCAACTGATGCGTCATCATGGATCGAGCCCATCTACCGATCTCTCATACAAAGTTTGTAGCAAACAGGACGACGCTGTACGAGTACTCTAGCTAGAACTACTACCAACTTGGTAGTAGTTCTAGGTAGTACCAAGTACATGTACAGTACTTCTTTTGGTGCTGCCAGCTACATATACATGTACAGTGCCGGTAAATCAGGTCGCTGGTGTGTGTTGAATTTCGTCGACAGGTGAAAGTTCCACTGGAACCGCATCATCTCGGTCTCGTCTGTAGCTTTCACGAGCCGGTCAGCCGCTGGTCGTGACGCCCGACGTGCTGGCGTTTAACGAGAGGTTCTGGCCGCTACTTTCGGAATCCGAGTTTCGTTTCGCGAATCATGAAAGAGACTACACCACATGATCTGATTTTCCTGGTGATACTGAGCTGTATCACTGATACATTCGTCTCGGGCGGATTCCGCCTGTCAGCAACTTGGTCTGTGCTAAGTCCCCAGTGAGATGATCCGAGCTATGATAACTTAGCTTACCAACAACGTGTAAAAAATCTTCTGTGAGGTCGTAATGGATCGAAATACGATCCTTCTACTACTGCATGAACGACTGCAGAAGAATCGTATATCGAGTACAGTAGAATCGTATTTTTTTATTTTATTTACGATTTCAAAGTACTGTGGCTTTACTGCTCCCCAATAATGAGAGCCCTGCATATATCATCATCGCCAGCGTCGACATGAAGGCTCCATTGGAGCGTCGTATTCAACTCGTTCGTCTGCATCCAGGATCTTCTACAATTATCACTGATGTCTTCAACATACATGTACCTGTCCTGAATCAGGACTCCTGATAGGACAGGCAAGTTGAAGCTCTACCAAAAAGTAGCGCTCGCCCCCTGCGTATTATATTTAAAAACTACACCTAACTGACTTGGCTAACTAAATGCGAAGAATGTTAAAACAGGCTGCAACCTATTTTTCGGGAATGTACGGTTAAAATCGGTATGGGATCCTTGGGTGACTCAAGGATGGTTTCACGTCTACGGGTGCCGTAACTTACCCGGGGTAAGCCCATTTACCACCGGATAAGCAGAGGTACTACATGCAGCTGTGCCTTCAAGTTGAGGGCTTCAACAACTTTAAGTTGAAGTCCTGTAGAGTCATATTGTACACTGCTGACTGTAAAGAGTCGTGAGTCGAAGTCAGTTGTGCTGCACGACTCGTGCATCCGCAGCTATTAACAAATCCTAGGTTGGAGTCTTTTTAAGTACGAAATAAGATTTCATTTATCGATTTCACAAAAAAATATCCCTTGGAAGTTGAAAATTAATTTACTGCTGATTTAGGAGTAAAATTAAGCGAGGAATCGATTGATAACGTCCTTTAATCGATCAGATCGACCGCTCCGGATGGAAAACGACCAACGTGGACGCAGTAGTCACCTGGGCACCGGTACAATTGAGGTATTGTTGAAGGAACGGGCAGATGGTGGCCGGCAGCATGCCGTACACTATACCGACGGCAGCGTACTGTGCCAGAAGACCGATATTGTCCTTGCTGGTGAGTACAGGCATGCCACCTTCACGCAAGGCTCCACCCTCAACGTCGATTGGGTCGGGTGTCTTTACACCGGCATAGCCGTCGTTTAGGACCTTGGGCGTTTGCGACGTGCCGTTCACGAACGACAGTCGTGTCGGGATGCCTAGCTTGCTGGGCGTCGCGCCGGCAGCGTGGTGTGTGGTTGCCATAGTTTGCGAGCAGGAGATACGGCCGGGAGTGAAGGAGTTGCTTGAGAAGCACAAGGCGGAATGAATAATGAACTGGACCCGGCACAGCACCGCGCGAGTAAGAGCAACGCGTCAAGCTTGCTCAACATTGTCGTGCTGCAAGCGATCGGGCAAGACTTTGTCTAAACGGAGACTTAATTTGGGGCGGGTCAACAGCGCAAGAATGAGTCCGTCGTGGTGAGCTGACCAACCGCAGCAACCGGAGCAACGCGCGTCATGCACTGGGGATGAGCTAGACTCCTACTCAGCTTTGAGGTCCACGCCTGGAAGGTACCAGTCGACAATCGCGAAGGTCATCGACAAATACTATGCTGCTCAAACTCGATGAAGGCGTCGGCCAGGAAATCGAGGTAGGAAAAAGCAAGCTCATTGGCGGAGCCACGGTTTGTTACTTGACGTTCGCTATCATTTGGTCCATCGTCACAAACGTCTTGGCTATTTTCGAAAGTACGTCGTGTCTGATCATCGCTGGCGGCACGGGCTGTTAAGACGCACAGCCGAACGTAGCAACGCAATTGCGCTCTCGTCTAGCAGAACTCCGTTGCAAGCAGAACTGCGTGTACATTTCAATATTAACTTGTAGCGTTTTGCTTCTGTTCGCTGTGTCAGTGACTCTCACTGTTACCGTTGCAAATCGTTAGCGTTTGTGTCATTGGTGGGTGCGCCGGGCGCCGGTGCCGATGTGCGTCGTGCTTGAAATCGTCAGAAAAAGGGGCGAAGGTCTCCAAAGTCTCTCGTTTGCCTGCCCTCTCGACACGCATGCTGCGCCCCTGCCTCGTTTCTCGCTGCCTTTCATCACGTTGCAGTGGTGCCCGACACAAGAATCCGCCTGCGCGGTCGGATGCCCATCATAATTCCGCTCGCCCGCTGGTTCTTCGTGCGACCTGGCAAGCATGTCCATGCAGCGATTTAATCCCCGTCCGCACCGCGGACAGATGTCGATCAGGCACTCTTCGTTTTGCCTGCTTCCCTTCAAGACCCTCAGGCGCCACGAGCAAACATGCCCGTGAACGGTCCCAGCATCAACGACCTGGACGCGCGTCTGTCTATCGGCAGCAACACGTCCAAGGTCAAGGACATTGAGGAGGGCGGATACACTGGTATCAAGACTCCCGACACCAAGCCGGGCGCAGGTGAGAAGATTGGCGAGTATGAAGGAGGCGCGTTGCGCCCCGGCGGCATGCCGAATCTGTTAAGCAAAGGCTGCATCGGTCTACTGTTCCAGTACGCCGTCGTCGGTCTGGTGTACGGCCTGTTGCCTGAGACCATTTACCCTTTCATGCAGCAATACCTGAACTGTTCCGGGTCCCAAGTCGCAGCCGCCAAGCAACTGGTTGTGCTGCCCTGGAGTTTCAAGGTCTTCTACGGTATTATGTCGGATTGCCGCCCGATCTTCGGATACCGTCGGCGTCCATACATGCTCATTGGTTGGACGATCTGCATCCTAACGTTGCTTGCCATGGCCATAATGCCGATCGGCAAGCCGTACTACACCGTCGCATCGGACCGGGACGTCGCCGTCGCCGACTACACGGACGAGATCAGGGCCCGTATCAACTACGACGCTCCATCGGAAGGCGCCAAGTACGTCATCATCATGCTGTTCGCGGCGTGCGGCTACGTTCTCTCGGACGTTTGTGCCGACAGTATCACGTGTGAACTAGCTCAGCAGGAGCCCATTGACAAGCGAGGCAAGACCCCAATCCCACCATCTACGTCGTGCGTACGGCTCTCGTCATCTTCGGTGAGCTCTTGACTGGTTTCTGCTTCAACGGTGAGGACTACGGCGGCGACTTTGACTTCTCGTTGAGCTTTCCGCAGCTAATGATCATTGCGACGGTGCTGTCACTGCCCGTGTTGCCCATGACTTGGTACTTCATCCATGAGGACAAGTCGGAACCCGCCGACATCCGTCAGTATCTCAACGACTTCTGGGACTTGATGTGCTCGCGCGCCGTGTACCAGGTGATCGCGTACAACTTCTTTGCTGGTATCTTCGCCACGATCACGTACACAGCCAGCTCCCCGGTCGCCTCGTACATGGTGGACGTCACGCCCATCAACAGTACGGTCAGTGACATCCTCAGCAACCTCCTGTTCATGGCCGGCATCATGATCACGTCCAAGTGGGGGTTGCACTGGAACTGGCGCTGGATGATCATCGCCACGGGAGCTGCGGTGATCGTGGTGGACTGTGCCGTCGCGATGATGGTCGTCTGGGACGTGTTCCGTAACCAGTGGTTCTGGCTCGGCCCGCCCATTGTGGTCCAACTCCCGTACGGCGTCGGCTGGATCATCTCGACGTACGTCGTGGTGGAACTGGCTCAAGTGGGCAACGAGGCGGCGGTGTACGGCTTGATCACGACCGTGAGCAACGTGGCCCAGCCGTTCGCCACGTCGTTGACGCTTCTGATGAACGGTCCGTTCGATATCTCCAACGACCGTGTCAAGGAGGACGACCACTCTGTCCGCATGGACATCACGTACACCATCATCATCATGTACTCGTGCATGGCCTTCTCGTGGGTCTTTCTGTTCTGGCTGCCCAAACAGAAGGAGGAGACGCAAGAGCTGCTCCGTAAGGGTGGACACAGCAAACTCATTGGTGGCGTCACGGTCTTCTACCTGGTCTTCGCCATCATCTGGTCCATCATGACCAACATCATGGCCATCTTCGACAGCACCTCGTGCTTGATCATCGCAGGCGGTACCGGCTGCTAAGCAAACTACTTACGTACACTGCACGTAACCAAGCCGATTGGGTGAAGATCGCGCTGGGAGATATTGTCTTTTCGTCTCAATTGTAATGACAAGTGTTCATAATTCCTTTGCGTTTCTTGCTGAACTCCCTGTGAGACTCCTGGCTCATATTCACGATTTTGACGATGTCTTTGATTTTTTTTAACATCTACAAAAAATATTAATACTTGTAGTAGGATCAAACGTTTAATATCATCGAAATAAAAGTAAGCAGCTTGGATCTTAGTCAGATTCTGACTACATGTAAAGTTCTCCATCTTTCAAATTCCTCCAGTCGTGTGACTAAATGTAATTGCCACAAACCAGGTTGCTCCTTGAGAGAAGATGACGACAGTATTTTGCGTCATAGTTGGTGAGAAGCGAGGACGATTTCCTGTGGTAATTGACCCACGTTTGTCGCTGGGACCTGAAGAAGGCGATCAAGGTGGAAAAAGCGGCGACAATTACATGTGAAGCGAATGAGCTGGAGCTCTTCCTAGCGAGGCAGAGTGATGAATGGCTGGATGATGCTGGCGCATCAGCTGTCACGCTCGATGAGTGTGGACGCCCACAAGCATTCGAGTTGATGAATCCCTCGCTGTCGATTAATAGCCCTAAGTTCCTTGGAGAGAATATTCATCCGGGCGGTGGAAAAGTCCACGTGCTAGTGGTGGTCTTTGTAAAACCTGTCGTATCAGTGGAAGTGCCAATGCCTCCAGCGCAACAAGAGTTACACCCAGCTGAGTCAGATGTAATCTGTTGTGGCTTCCACGGTGGCTCGACAGGTGGGTCGCTTGGATACAACATAGATATGAGCGACAAGCGAAACTTATCTCGAAGTGCGCTGACAAACAAAGTTATCAGCTTACTCGACAATAATCACGTGCTGTTGGTCACTAGTCCGCCGATGACTGGCAAAACGTCTCTGAGCATGCTGGTGGGTAGGGACTTGGTGAGTAAAAGCAAAGAAGAAAGGAGGAAGGTCATTGTTGCAATGCTCTCGATTTTCTCGATATTTGACGGTAACTCTTTTCACGGGGAGTTCGAGCGCACGTGTTCGTACGAGTGGAGTCGCGTGGAATCGCTTCGAAAAGACGGATATATAGTGTACCTGATGGTGGATGATACCCAGTTACTTTACAATAATTCCGAGTCGTCTCCGATGGAAAAGTCTCAAGAGTTTTGGCAACTAGTCAAACATGTTCTCAGCGATAGTAGTTCGGGTTTCCGTGTGCTGATGTTGGCATCCTATCGCTCGGGTGTTCAGTATGCGCTTGATGCGGCTCCAGTCGATATTCCTTCTGAATTTGTGCTAGGCATAAAGCATTTATTTTTTAGCTCCGACGAAATTCCAGAGTATGTGAAGAAGTGGTTTGCTGGCTACGAGAGTCTTCAAGATTCTGCGACGCGGTTTTATGATTTCCTTGCTCTACTAACAGGTGGACACGTTGGCCTATGTATGACTGCTATCAAAGAGCTGAATAAAGTGTATTTATCTCGTGTGAGAAATGGAGGTGCGCCTCCATCCGCTCAAGAGTGGATTCGAATGTTGGTTCTCGGGTCAATGACAGACAGAAGAGATGACCAGATGTTCTATTGTCTAAAATCATCTCGCGCAGTAGTGTGGTTGAAAATGCTCAAAGTGGAAGAACTTGACGGCTTAGAGCTCCTTGTTAACGGAACCAACAGCCAGTCCAGCTCTGGCAGTCTCGATCTGTATATTCACAAGCGGATTCTAGTTCGAATTGCAGATAAAGTCGACTTCTCATCCCCAGTCATGTGGCGATTCTTCATCCAGATGCGCGTTCGTTGGATTGAGCGCACACTTGGCAGCCCCAAATAACTTGAGGAGATGATCGGGCGTGTTTTAAAAAATATAAACTACGACAATATTAGCCCAAGCTGGTCAGATGGCATCGATCCGAAGAAGGCGCTGCAACTGGAGTTTTATAAAGCGTCATATCGCTGCACACCACGCACTTTTGTGACATCGATAGATGTTGGGGCCTTGTATGGGTCTGATGGATTCATCGATTTTACGGTTAGCGAGGAAAATAATTTTTGGGGAATTGAGCTTTTGTTCGAAGGCCGCAAGTTGGGTGAGCACATCCAGCGGTTCGCTTGTGATGGGTTGTATTCGGTATTGCAACTGAGCGACTACTGCCTACTCGACTTCCGGCGTGTCTCGTCGATGGATGATGCTACTAAGGAAGCGATCGATACAGACGTGAGCCGCTGCGAAAAACTTTACATTGTGTGCTACGACGCGGGACTAAAACAAATTTCAGTCTGGAATTCTCAGTGCAATTGGATCTTTACCTAAACGTCGAAATCAGACTTGACGCGTGCGTGCGTATCGAATTTGGGAGAGCTCGCGCCATTCGTGCAGTTTACATTTTATTAATGCTGCTTACCAACTCGGCATTAATTTAATGAGGGTTTGGTGAAATCAGTAATAAGGCTTGTTCCTCAGAAAAAATTCGCGCAACTCATTTCTTGAGTTTAATTTCAGAGTCTACCGGAACTAATACTTTCCTGTAAATCTATTCGTGCGCTTCATTTTTTATTTATACTACCACAGTAGCATAATTTCGATCAATAGTAATGCATCATTCTGCCGTCGTAAATTGGAGTCATAAATTTCCACGACGGTCGATAAGAAATGATTGGACTTCATAGAAAAAGGAAACAAAGTAGTATTCAGCGCTATCGTATCGCTACCGCGTCCCTGTAGAAGACTTTTACGCATACCAATAAGTATTTACAGGTGCATACCACGCTCGAACGTTAAGCTCGCACAGTGCGACTTGTTGTAAAATAACATTTTGCTTTTGAGTATTGTAATGACCACTGTATTGTAAATATTACAGTACGCAGTGCGACCACCGGTATGGCGGACGTTTTTGCACTAATTGGTAGCCTCAGGTGGTAACGGAAAATGCTTTTCAAGCCACAAAATGTAGTCCGTGTAGAGCTTGTAGGTGGTTTTGTCCTTCGCTAGGCCCATACCCGATAACTTCTTGTAGACAGGACCCTCGTCGAGCCCACTACTGTTCCATTTGGAGAACAGCCTTTCAGCAAATGCTCGATCCAACTTGGCCCTTTGAATTTAGAACAAGAACGCTTCGGGCGTAGTAAGCGTAGTTTTCTTGAGTGGGTCGTGGACGTTCAGCCAGGTGACGTAATTCTTGTAGACCTGATACAGGTTATCGTCCTTGTTGACCCCCATACGCTGAAACCTCTTGAAGACGTCGTCCGATTCAAATCCATAACGCTTCCATCTGCCGTACAACACGTGCGCGTACGTGCCGTCCTCCAGTGCCTTCTTAATCTTCGCTATGTCAAATAGCTTCGGATTCGTTTTGGTAGCGTGCGCGTTGAGCCAGATGCGATAACTCTGGATCAACTCGAGGGCGTTCTCATCCATAGATATCTGCATGCTCTTAAACTTCGTAGTGACCGTGTCCTCGTCGACTCCGCTTCGCTTCCATCTCCGGAACAGCGTTTTCGCGTAAGTGGTGTCATTCAACGCATCTTCGAGCTTCTTAATGTGAAACGTGTTAGCGCCGCCCAACCTCTCTTCGTCATCGGAACTCCGCAGGTACCGCTTCCCGTCGGCGTTGCTCAGATCCTCACTCACATATTTAGTGTACGTGAGCGGCATTACCATGGCCTGATCAGCAGCTGCAGCTTCACACAGGGCATTGTCGCCTGCAACCAAAGTCAAAGCATTCACTACCAGAATGATATTTGAGAGACGCATCTGTTACTTTCTCGTACTGGAGGGGGGATTGCGGAATGAGAGACGACGTTGGTGCTGGGGTGGGCTGACCGACAAGTACGAAACAAATACAGTAGCTCCGAAATCGTTTGCGAACAACAGAGATTAAGCTTTCAAAGCGTATGATCAAACAAAACCGTGTCGATCTTCCATTCAGTATCAAACTACCATAGTATTTGTATAGTACTAAACATCGATTAGTCGCTTGTACGGTCGTTAAAATACTATGCTAACTTTGCTATTTAATTTACAGAACGTTGTCTATATATTCTAAATATGATTATAAGGATCCAAAACATTGTTAACGGATCGGAGCTGCCTCTTATTAGCCGTTTGGGTCCTTAAAAAAGTTTCTAGGAGGGTCCGTATGTGATGGGTGCTCTGCAATATGTAACGGGGAAGCTCTCTCGCTCATTATTGTATCACATTATTTTTCTAATGAATAATATGAATTACATGTATGATGAAGGAGGAAATCAAGAGATTTGGCTCGTAATCTTGGTTACAGCTCATTTTATTCATGTAATCAAGTTTACTTACGAGCTTTCTTACATCACGCTCTTTTTGCTAACGAACTCTCTACATGTAGCTTACATAGAGAGAGCTCCTAAGCAAAACGAGTGTTACATTTTCATCATGAGGGTTTCACCATAGTTTTACCTGGGGTAGAATAATTAGTGTAAAATACATTATTTTTATTGGAACATCATGGAGGCAACATTCTGACCCCAGCATTCGCTTTCAATCGTCCTCGGCAGTAGCGAAGATAGCGGTAGTAGTGTTATCAGTCCTATTACTAGCCTTACAGCGCAGCAATGATATTTAAAACTTTGGTCGTGATCTTCAAGGGACGCTGTTTAGTGAAAGTATCGGGTGGAGGACGGTAGTAAATACGGGATCAAATGTGAATGGCCTCGTGCAGTGAACGACGAATTATAATGTGGCTGCATGTCAGGTTGATAAAAATATTGCAATTTAGTACATTATTGAGCCTTGCAATAAAAATATTTAATACTAGACCGGTCCGACAATAATACAATATAGAATTGACTCAGCTATTGACAGCAGACATGCTGAAATTGGTAGTGTAATTGTGTATTCCATTGGTCTCTGGATTTTGTATCCAGAGTTTTAGGAGGCGAGTCATTCTGACCCAAAACTCCTCTAGCTTCTTATACTTAAATAACAAATTAACGTTTTCAGCACAAAACTTAAATAATTTACTTCAGCACATAGTGGGTTTCTTCTCTCAACGTGCATAACTTATAGCAGATCTTAAATGCCGCTCGCACAAATCCTGTAGCAAACTATGGGGGTACAAAGTGCATGTACTTGTCAATTTGTTCTATATAATGTTTACAAGTTCCCATCTGCTCCTTACTGACGCATTACTGTATGCTACTACTGCAATCCTGTATACCGAAGTAAATACGCGATCACACTGTGCGAGTCGCACGGCGATCACAAGACAGATATTGACGGTACGGTATGTCGCACGCATCTGCTTCACCCGCTCCGCAGCCGCATCATCTGCGTGAAAGATGAAGTCTGTTCGAACAACATTCACGCGGATTAAACTACTTTGGTGAGTCGTAATTTATAGTGATGTTACCCTAGGCCGCCACAAGCAACATTCGCCTGGGTGACAACACTAAGACAGAAGATATTCAGCTATACATTACCATTGGGGACCTTCAGAAAATGACGCAAAGCCCAGGCATTTTGCGTGCCGAAATGTGATAGCCAACAAGTGCATTTGTGACGATATTTGCGATTCAAATCTCTAAAAGAAAATCAAGCTTGCCTGGCTGCGGGAGCTCAAACCTCGCCGATGGCAGTAAATACTGCGTTTGCGACAAAATCAGCTACCTACCAACGCCGCTGTAGGAATGTTATGTTGCTGCACCTTCTTAGAAGTAGCTTTAGGGAGCGGTGTACAGAAGTTTTAAGAAGAAGGGCTTTATGGCAGCTTTGTAGCGGTGGTGTCGCTGCCACCTGCTTCGTTCGAGTCGAGTTTTCTAAAAAACTACACGGTTAAGTGGCGTCCCAGTCAGCGCGGCCGCCCTCTTAAAGTACGCTTTCTACAAGCCCAAGCATGTACAGTGTCTCAGGCGTGGCCCGCCCCCTTCCTCGGACCATTGCAATGTTTGTTGTTGTGCTGTAATTACAGCGCGGCGCGCGATCTGCTGTCCATTTATATTTGGTTTGACGTCGTCATTTGATTTTGTGATGTTGCAATTTGCAGAGACTCCAAAACGGTCTCTTTAAAATGCGAGCGATTTAGTGCGACCAGTGCACTGTAACGTGTGGCAAAAAGGAACTAATAATAACATTATTATTGTTAAGTATGTAGAGATAAAAATGAAAAGTACCTTTTTCTGGAACTTTGAGTATGTTAAGCTCCTTACTTACACTGTAGAAATATCGGCCGTTTGTGCAACTTGGCTTGCAACCCTATTTTGATTGGTTAACCCTAGTGCTGATGACTGTGTTGAAGTGCACAAAGCGGTAACTACACACGCAGAGTAGGATGGCCGCCATTCTTACGATCCGCACGGAGGGACACCAAGATACTTGACACTGAGAGCTGCCTACCATAGACTGAATATACCTTGTCTATCACTGTGTCACTGGTAGAACGTGAGCGCGCCAAGCTAGCGACTACGTCCCAGAACACTTTTCGCCAAGAGAAGGCGAATTTGTTCGCACCACGCTCGATTGCCGTAAAGTCTTTTGCTGCTTTCAGGTCACCGCACGCGACCTGGTATTCGTGCCAAAGTTCGAATAAATCTTTCGGCCGCTATGAATGTACAGCCGTAGACGCTCGGCGAGACGGAGGTGGATTAGGTGGAGATGTAGTTATATCCTGCGTAATAACGTCACGCCGAAAAGCTGGCTGCATGTCAATTTGCTTTAGTATGGCCTGAATCTTCTGTAGCTCTCGTTGGTTCTCTCGCCGTAACCCCCTTCGTTCAGCCCTTCGGCTGTTTGGCGTCGCCCTGCTCAAATCTGCGAACCTCGTGAGCTCTCGCTTGTACTGGCTTGTCATAGTGCTTGGGCTTGTGGCGCTCTTTTCTTTCTTTGCAAACTTCTAGCTTAATCTCACTTGGATTTTGATATCTGATTCTATACTAAGTACGTTTGCAACCTGACTTGCTTTTTGTATCAGGTTGGGTTGCAAAACTGACCTGAACCTGCCACCGTGTGAACAACTCAAGTTGCAATCACCACCCCACCGTTTCGCGCTGTGCAAGGCACAATTGTGGCCTATACGCTACGAGCAGCCAATCAGAGATCAGGACTTTCAAAAATACAACCTTGGTTGCCAATGGCCGATAGTGTACATGTATACACAGTTGTGCTAGTTAAACACTGAGCCCGGCGTGTCGATTCGATTAAGTACGAAATCGTGACCGCAAAACCGACTGGGCCATCCAGTAGTTGATGTGAAGCAAGCGTGCACAAGGTACGCCACGGAGACTCAAATCCGATAAGCAATTGAAAGCAGGTCTTAGGTAGATAAGGACTCTAATAAAGAATTTCCTTGGGTAGAAGGAATTTACCTATACACAGTTGTGTAATCCAGAGCTTCTCCGTGAAACACGGCTTTGTGGTTTAAGCAAAGTTACCACGCGGTATGATGTACCTATTGTTACCAGCCCAGATCTTCAATTTGGCAATATCAGGACTTGAGATTAGCGCAAACAGCGAGTGTTTCCTTCTTAGGTTTGAAATCGCGATAATAAAATGTACACAATATTTCCGTGTCCTTTACGTCAGCTTCGTCAACCCGATTGTTGCATTGTTCGTGCATGCAGTCTCGCCAACCGCAACTAAACACTACATATATACTACTTTGAAGTTACTGATCTCTACAAATTCTTAACCTCCTAAAAACAAGTTTGTATTAATAGTGCACAAGCCGAGTGTGCCGCCGCTATGCGGCTGTAGTTTAATTTTTATTGGCACGTTGCGCAGGCGATCAGTAGGGCAAGGAGCAGCTTAGATGACAGAAAGCAACTAGAGAACGTCTTCTTGCGGAGCACTTTGGGATTAAGGAGGAACCCTCGAAGGTGACAACCCCCATTGTTAACACTATACACTAACGGGCGTATACTTCCATCTGCAACAGTACAGTCCCAACTGTATACACAGCCATAATAGGTATGCACAGCAACACGACCTTCGTCGCATTTATTCTAGCTGTTTGCGTTTCCGCCTCCAGCGGAAAAATTATTCCAAAAACTCTGAGCCCCTATGTGCCTAAATCGACTTTTTTATTTCATTAATTGGGGTTAAATTTAGACCAGTCGCTACAAAATGCGTTCCCAGTAAGCCGCGCAATAAATCCCTAACATCATACTTACCATGATTTATGTTGCGGAGTACTGATCTACGGCCTACGTTGGCTATCCGGGACTATGATATGTTAGTGAAGTGTATGTCAATGTGTACCACACCAGATGCGACAAGCGAGAGAAAACTTCACAGCAACAAAATACACGTGCCGCACGGACAGCATCTTGCTGCAGCTGCCTTTGAGAGTGAGCTTTCACTCTGCGTATTTATTGCCTTTCGCAAGTGGTTATGAGCCCAAACCTCGCTAGGGGGAAGCTCATTGCTGACGACAACGATGGCAGACAAGAAAGACAGTACAGAGGAGAGAAAGTCTCACCCGCCGTTTGACGGCAATGATTTTGAGATGTGGCTGGAGCGAATGACCCTGAAACTGCAGCGTAAGGGGCTCTGGACGTACTGCGAGAATGAGGTGGACGAGCCGGAGAAGGCAAAAGCTAACGAGCATACTGTTTGGCTGAAGGAGACACGCCGTACAAAGGAGTTCTTGTACGACGGTATGACTGATAAAAACCGTGAAACATGAACCGACCCCATTTCGAGTTATGCAGCGTCTGAAGCAGCGTTTTGTTGGCAAGACGTACTTCAAATATGCGGAAGAGATGACGAAATTGCGCCTGTTGCGT